ACAATTGCGGAACAACTAAAGCGTGCTACCCACAGACTGAGGAACATGTAAGCTACAATTTCCGAGGAACAACTGTGGATTGAGATGGTTTTGGGCCGTCTTGTGAAACGCTGAACGCATGTTACGAAATAACTAAGAGAAAGTCGTGCGTTGTCTGTGTACATGTGGTAAAATGGTCTCTTACAACCGACCGATTTCGACTATGGTGATTTCATAGAGCACGTGAAACATCACATGCATACGTCATTTAGAACCAAAACCATGGGAGTGATTGGTGCAGTCCATTCAAATGCAAAGAATGCTAGTGAGAATGTGCAAAGTTCACTGGGATTGGGCCTTTGTAAGAATGGAGAAAGAAAGTGAACCTCTTTGATCAGGGCAATGCACAACCCAAATGTGCATATCTTTTCAAACATTCTGGCCTGATAAGAAATGACAACAAGAGCGCCACTACTGACGGTTAGTTGCCATATCCTTCATTGTCTCCAACCAACCAGTTTCAGGGTCTTTTGGACCCCAACCTGGAAGGTGGGAGACACCTGCTCCACCCAATCGCATTCCTTCATGCCTGTCTCCACGTCATTATCCAATTTTCAAGAATGGATCTCGTAACGACTGCGCAAACCACCGCGGGATGTTGGATCCCAATAGTCACTAGGGTATTATTAGCCTCCTAAATACTTCGACGTCTGACGCCTTTCAGGACAACAACTATCCGCGAACAACATGCGGGATTCCGACCAGGTAGTGGTCGTATCGACCAAATCTTCACATGAACCTCCGAAAGCTTCAATATGGTCAAGTTGGGTGTCTCGGGTTGTGACTGGTCACCATTTCCTCACACCTCACAAAATGCTCCTGTACGATCAAGCGTCCCAAAACGTCTCTGCTGAGGAAGCCCTGCTCACTGTCTTCCCATGGGGCGGAAGTGTTTTCCCACACGAAAGTGAGGGGATAAATAGCCAACAGCCGGGGCTATAACCTGGTTGATGAACCTCTGGAAGTTCGCCTATGGGAGATGGCTAAAAACCCTGATTCCAAACCAACCAAGAAGAGGCACACAAACCACGCACGCATCTTCCTAGTCGTGATAGTCGCGGTTTTTGCACACCATCCCGGGTCAGTCTTTGGCTGGTCAAAGGCTCCGGTTGTGAATTGCCCAAGAAAATTCACCTGCCTTGACCTGGACAACCTGGCAGTATTCCGCCCACGAACTGTCTCTTTTTATGACGCTAATTTTATTATGATTAATTTGACTCAGTCTGGATTCAAACATCAGTCAAATACAGTAACTCATTTCCGATATAGATCCTTGAGAAGTGAAATATTTTTCTGTTCCGCTTCTTGATTGTAATGAGCTTAAGCTTCTTATTCGTCGGTGATGTCCTACCTCTCTCTCTCTCTCCTTTTCGAGATGATGCGTTATGTTATGCTTTCTGAGGCGCAATTTCCGTTTTGCCATATGTGGTTTCATGTTATACACCAGTAACGAAGTCCCATGTTTTTTTTTAGCAGCGGGTTTGTTCGATATGTATGCAGACCCCCCGGATATGCTTGTCGAAGATATGTGGTCTGTAAGCCCCACAGGTTCTGATGCTTACGATCCCTACTGTCGAGTGGATTTCAAATCGACGGATTGGAGCATATTGAGCGATAGTCTTCAGCGTCTGGATAGAAATACGCGAAAATTAAAAGCCGAGCTTTCTCATCACACGGATCTGGTGGAGACACTCGCCTCTAACGTGGAAACTGTGTTCGGATCCGAACTAACTGAATCACTGAATGGCATCCGTCGTTATGCAACAAAGGTGGAGGATGAAATCGGTTTGATTGTGCATCAGGTAACTAGTCTAGTCTTTTTCACTGGCTTTAAACTATATCATGTGATCAAACAATTGCTTGTTCCTCATCTCAGCTGGAAAACTCACTGTGATAATTAATTGGCCATTTNGCCATTTCCCATTTATGGATTTTTCTCCATCAAGGTGGACTTGGAGCGAAACGAACGATCTGTCCAACAGAGAATGATCACGAGTTTACGAGCCACGTTGGCGGAGGCTGATCGTCAACTGGAACAGGCGGCAGCATTTGAGAGACAGTTGCATGTTATCCAAGCGGCTCATCGCTTGGATCAGAATCGGTCCACTCATGCGTTCCCCCGTGACAGGGAATCGACTGATATTGGATGTGCCTCGAAAGTCACAGACAATATCAAGTCTGTAGACGATAAGCTGTCAGTCGACGAGGGAAGCAGTTTCTCAAATTGGTCCGTATCCCCCAGTCTAACAGGCAGCACATCTCGTATTGAATCAACAGTGACTAAAAAAAAGAAGTCACCGATGCGCGATGATCATTTGTCGCATCAGTTATTCACGGGTCAGGTAATACCCGAACACGTCAGCATGCAGGCCGTTTGTTTATCTCATTTCCCGTGTGTTGTTAGTCTCGTGTTCCGGGGAACACTAGCATATCTCCCCCCCCCCAAATCAATCTCTTTCGTCTCATTAGTGATCAGTTGCATGCATAATAATTCATCATTGATTTCCTCCGGTAGCACGATTGTCTATCTTCTTGCTCCGTCGCTGTCGTTTGACTTGTTCCAGCATGACTTTTTGTCAATGTTTGATTTTTTTTCTCTCGTTTCATGTTGTTCGTATTCCCTTCTCCGTTCATCTGCTCGTTTGCTTGATTGTAGCATATTTGCTCGTTGTTTTCGAATCTAATGTCTTGCGTGGTAAACGAAATTAGAGAAGGATTTCACAATTGACTAATTTGTTTTCTTCTGTTCTCCTACTCCCGCTCCCCCGGCCCCGCCTCTGCCCCCAGCAGACACGTTCACCAGATTTCGAGAAGGATACGCACTCCAGGGTGTCGAGCTCTAGTCAGACCAGGAACAGATATACCGCAAGCAGTCTAGACAGAGTTCAACGATTGGGTGATCAGCGTACCCCGCTTGACCACGAGAAAACTCGTAGTCGTTCGGCCGATTCATCCTATCCCAATTCCGGCCCCTCGGCACCAAACGATGCAAAAGAGGCAAATACCGTGCTTCAATCGTGGTTTGTTCAACGAATCCAACTAGAGATGAGAAGACGACATCGTACGGAAGCGTTGCTGGCACAAACACAACGCGAATTGGAGCATTTACGATCGACTGACCTAATCCGAACTCAGGATAAAACGGCAGAGAAATTAAAAAATCCAAATGATCATTTTGCATCGGACCGTCAGAATGCAGTTGATCATCACAAACTTCATACAGTTCAAAAGTATTTATTCGATTCTGTACACTGTACCCAACTACCCGTGCTGGAATGTTCGCACAGTTGTTCAATACATACCAGTCAGAAACCGGAGATCAATTCGCAAACAGTACCGTTGGAATCGTTCACTTCTTCGGATACGCCACTCCCTAATCAGTCCCCGTTTTCCGGGGAGACACGTTCCGGGCAGTCCGGTCATTGGGATCCATTTGCTCTCCAGTGCTCCTCAGTCTGTTATGATAAACAGCCCTTCCGTAGGCACTTTTCCGAACCGGATCTGGTCATTTCCTGTCGCTCCTCCTCCTCCCCCTCAAAAAATGTGACCGATCTTTCCTATTCATCCTCGGTGCACAATGATTCTAGTCCCTTAGTCCGGTTCCCAAGTCCATCATGCCAGACCTCCAAATCCAAACCACATTTACACATCATGCCCTTCGCTTCCACCCAGCGGTCGCTTGGGCGGCCCCATAAACGTCAGAGAACGAATTCTGACCACGAGAAATCCATCAGTTTCCGAGTGAATTCGACCGGTGCGATGCATCAACTCATTGCTTTTCTACGAAATTCCAATAACCTGTTGTTCCAACTAATGCAAGTGTACAGATTTGCACACCACGCTGATCATCGGACTAAGCAACTGGAGTTGCAAAAATTTATGCACCAGTATGGGGAAGAGTTTGAACGATTTCGTTCCTGTATTTTACGAGCGAACAATCCCAAAACAGATCTTTCCAACCACGAGGACAGTTCGCTATTCCCAATCTATCTATGTCAATTGGTACAACTCTATCCGACCACGGAACGTATCCCACGATTGAAGGCGGAAGACCTTGACAATCCGTCTTCACTGTTCAAACGATACCGGTTCCATTCATCCCTGGAACAGTTAAATTCCACCGCTTGTTCTGATCCGGATAACCATTTCACATCACACGTCTGGCACGAGATAGATACCCCATTGCTGTCTAGTGAGGATTGTTCCTTACAGGTGAGTAGTCGTTCCGTTTTCTTCGCACCTGTCCTATTGTTTGAGGACCTGTTCAACCAAGTCAGTTGTTCAGTGCTCGCCTATTTGCATCATGCCGGATAGTATAGTGTACGTATATGTACCAGGTCTTTTTTTAAACTAGTAGACTCGTTCTATACTTCTACTGTAATATTCATTATTATTTCAACACTGAACTAATTACAGAGAACTGGCAAATGTGCCACAACACCTGAACAAAAAAAACTAGGATGTGTTCTTAGGTTGTGTGGGCATGTTACTTCCCGGTTGCCCTAATCGAGGAAGGTAGATAACCTCGGGGTCCCTACCCGAAGCTTTTGTCTGGAAAGTCAGACCTGCAATACAACAAGACAGAGCTGAGAGTCTGCCATCCATTGGGGGCCGGCGTCCATTCCATTGAATCATACACCTTTTGGACTAGGTTAAACGTCCAAGGTGCTCAATAGGCCTTGACGCCCAATTGGGCCGGTGATCAATATCACGACCAGGACGGTGTGTGTGGTTCGTACGCCTCTTCCTGGTTGGTTTGAAGTCACGGTTTTTAGCCAACTCCCCTAGGTGAACTACCAGTGGTCCATCAACCCGGTTGTATCCTGGGATATCGGCATTTCGTCCCGTCACTTTGGTGGGAAAACATCTACGCCACTTGAAGGCAGTAAGTAGGGCTTCGTCAACAGAGGCTATCTGACACGCATGGTCATATAGGAGGTCACGAGGTCACAACCGAAGACACCCACCCGAACCATACTGAGGCTTTCGGAGGTAATATGCACAACGGGAGATGAGTGGTGTTCGGTGTCATCGAAGAAGAGCTCATCTCATTATTTTGATTATCAAGTGAATTGACATACCGCATCGTTCCCTATGGGGAGTTTTTGTGGTATATCACTCCAGCAGCGGCGTTCGTCAAGGGTGCCCTCTTTCGTCGTTCCTGTTCAATTTCTTCGTAGACGAATTACAGGAGAGTGCACTAAAGGGAATCCAAAACGTAGGTATTGAATGGATAGCTGGAGAAAAGCTATGCAATTTGGAGTACGCCGATGACATCGTCTGCCTGTTTGAATGTATGGAGGACGCGCAAAGCGCAATTGATAGATTAACAAGTGCAGTAGCCACATTCGGTATGTGCCTTGCACCTTCAAAGTGCAAAGTGATGCTGCAGGACTGGGTTTCGTCTACTCCCACTCTGACACTAAATGGCCAGGATTTAGTTGTGGTGGATTACTTTTCCTACTTAGGTAGTTGCGTGANTGACGGTAGTGCAGCAAAGGAGATAACCGCCCGCATTTCCAAGTTTTTTTAAGCATACGCAGGACTGAAACACCTTTGGCGTAGACGCGACGTT